TTGTAGTGATTTATAAAATTTATGGGTTCCGTTTCGGAGAAAAAAATATTGTGTCATTTTCACAACTTTTGAATTACTATTTTGGGGAAAAATTTGTATTGAATTATTTAAAAAAATCACAAATTGGGTAGTTCCATTTTAGAAAGAAAATTTTATTGCAATATAAGATTATCAATAAATATTTCAGAGTGTTCATGGAAAAATTGCAATACATCAGAAAATGTAGTGAGTTATAAAAATAAAAGTTCTATTTTAGAGAAAAAAATTGTTGTGTTCTTTTCACAACTATTGTAATGTTGTTTCACAAAAAATATTTATATAGAACTATCGAAAAATATTCATAAGTTTTGTAGTGCCATTTTTTAAAGAAATAATAATAATGTAGTATCAAAAAATAATTTGAAGTGCAGCTCAAGAAAAATACAGTAAATGCAACTTACAAAAAAATGTACTCCCTCCGTTATCAAAAACACTTCCTCTTTCATTTTTTCCCTTCCAACAAAACACTTCCAATTTCTATTAAAAAACCACTTTTACCCTTACTTTTTCATACCCTACCTATCACATCATACTTTATCTCTAATAATCTATCCATCACATCTTACTTTTACCTATCACATGAAGGGCAAAATTGGAAGTCAACTACAATTTAATACTTTCTTATTTTTACACAAAGTCAAAAGAGGAACACTTTTTCCAAACGGAGGGAGTAGTTAGTTATGAAGTTAATAAATTAGCTCTATTGTGTACAAAAATTTATTTTCTAATTATTACCATATTATTGGTTATTGAAAAAAAACAATTAGTTTCACTCTAAAAACACTTATATTTGGTATTTTTTCCAAAAAAATAAAATAAAAATACATTTAAAGAAATTAAAAAACGAAAAAGGGAGACTTTACCTAAAATAATCCCACCTTTCATTTATTTTCGAAAAACGGGCATTTTTCAAAATTTCCGTTAAGTGACCGTTAGTTTTTTAACGGCGACCCAAAACTCGCACATATGCGGGAAGGTGGTATTATTTCTGGTGAGAGTGAAAAGTATGATTATTTTTGAAAGAGCACTAAAAGGTGGGATTATTTGAGATAATTTTTCCTTTTTTTAAAAATAAAGTACATAGTGTAAGTATAGGTACTTCATTTAATATAAATACTATTGTTTCTTAAGAAAAAAATAAAGAAAAAAAAATGATCTAAGTATACATTCTTGAAAAAATATCCATGCATTATGGAGCAATTTTGGCTAGCTTGTTGGTTTTCTACCTTTATAATTTCCTTCATTTAGAATTGAATTATATACAATAGTAGCTTTTATATTCTTACTTGTGATGATCAAATAATATCAACATGATACCAATCATAGCACTGATATTACCTGTAGGAGTAGTGACCTGTTTTTCTGTAAATGGAAGGTGTCCTAGACCATGTTCCACGACCTTAAAATAATACAAAAATGCACATTGTTATTGTACACATGAAGCATAGAATTTTGCACAGAGAAAAGTGGTTTATATACCATCCGAATAAGGCGGTCTGCATAAAACACAAAATTATGTTTTGCTGTATTGGCATCACGTATAAGCGTGTGCATCCCTCGAATCTAGAAACAGAAAAAAATATAAACAGATGAGAAATCTTTAACCTCACTTAAATTCTTGATCAAGAAGTAGCAGGTAATGTAGGTTATAAAGGCTATTAACACCTGATATGTTGAGTTTATAATGAACACGTTTGGATAGATCTTGCAAAGTTCATTTTGACCGAGCTTTGTGCGGATGTGCTGTAATATCAAGTCTATTGCAACATTGTTCTCTGCTCCCCGGGGGATTATAATATCGGCATATTTCTTGGTTGGAAGAATAAACTCCTCAAAACCAGGTTTCACAAATTTGTCATACTGCAAATCGTGAAGATGTGGCATGTAAGTTTCAAAAATGAAACAAATCCAAAAGAGGTGATTTTGCTTTCTCAAAACATCATTGCAAAACCAACCTATATGCAAAGATGCATTTTATTGCGTTAAGGGTTGTGAGTGGGCTTCAAACATAGTACTGTTCTCACATGGTGCATATATAGACATGAACAAAAGGATGGCCATTTTCTCTACTGATTGACTTAAAACAAACGCAATCTATACTAACTTGGTCAAGCACGCTCCGAACATTTCTTCCCCATTCTATAGTATCACGTTGAATCCTTCTTATAAGACGCACATCGGAATCTGCACACATTATCGGGAAAAATTTATTCATTTATTAACACATCCGTTCCAGGCCATCATAAGAGATCAACGTGTTATTAGGAGGGGTAATGAACGATTTTATATGTTAATTTATATGTTTATGTTTATACTTGTTAAATGCGAGTTCAAAAGAATAAACCTGTATCAACAAATAACTTCATGTTTAGTAGATTGCGTATACGAGGGTCATGAAAAAGTAGAATTCCTTCTAGTATGATCACATCAGATGGTTGCACCTGTTTTTTAATTAACAGCAGAATTACTGCATTAATATGGTTTAAAAGACTAATAGTAGAAAGATTAGTACCATGCGCGATGGCTGGATGCAATTGTGGCTCTTCAAATCGTAATTAGCAATGCTAATTGCTTGTCCACATCTTAACATCTCTAAGCTTGAAAGAAGAAGCTCCATATCAAAGGCATCTGAAATTTATTAAAGTAACTTCATCCACACACACACAAACATTTTATCTGTGCTAAAGTAGAAAAAATATTTTGTCTAGAATTTGTGTTTACCCGGATGGTCGAAGTTGTAATCATGCACTCTCTGCAATTGCTCATCGTTCAATGGACGATAAAATGATTCCTAAAAGAAATAAACAAGTTGGATTGTATTAGAAAATGGGTATTGATCGAATTAAAAAATTGAATCCAATCGATTACATCTCACCTGATTGATCAGAACAACGCGCTGGTTGTGAAACTCTGAGATTATGGTGCTGCAAACCTCCGTTTTTCCAGATGCTGTTCCGCCAGCAACACCTTTAGATGATCAAACTAATGTTATTTGAAATGAAATAATTGGAAAGATATAATGAATTGAAGAAGAAAAGAGGGAAAAAAGAATTCTACCAATGATGAATGGAACCTTGAGAGGAACTTGCTCAAGTACAGGCTGGGCTGCCTGGAGTGAAAGGTGATTTTCTAGGCTGCTTATAATCACAGAGTATAAATCAGGTTCCATCTGTTGGGAAATTGATTAATAATCAAAAGAAAAAGAAAAAAAGAAAAATATAAAATAAGAAAGAGGACAAGGAAGATAAAAAGGAAGATATGGATGGTGGATGCATACATCATGCATGCATGTGATTGGGTTCTCTCCTGTAGCAAATTGATTGGGGCAAATTATGCCTCTCTTTGCCCTTTAAAATGGAAAGGCTACGGAGTATTCGTGAGTGTGGGTTCACACACCACCAATGTAGAGAGAGAAGCATGGGAGGAATTCTACTCCCTCCGTCCCAAAAAGTTTGTTACGTTTAGAAAAAACTGTGTCCCGTAAAGTTCGTTACATTTCTATTAAAAAACCATTTTTACCCCTTACTTTTTCATACCCTACCTATCACATCATACCTTTTTCCTAACAATCTACCCATCACATCCTACTTTTACCCATCACATCAAGGGTATTTTTGGAAAGTCAATACCAAAATATCCCTCCCTTAATTTCCCAAAAAGTCAAACCGTCTCATTCTTTTTGGGACGGAGGGAGTACACAAGAATACCACCGGAAAAATCCAAGGGGTCTTGGTGAGTGTGGGTGAGTGTAGGGAGTAACTGGTTTTAGTTACTCTGAAAAATACATTTGGGCATAGGATGTGGAAATATCTGTTTATGAGTGTTTGAAATTTAGTCTTGTAACCAGGGGAGAGTTTTTTGTATATTGTCCTGAAATAGTGGAAATATAATTTTTTCTCTCATATATTCTTCTTGTGTTTGTTCTCTCATTTTTCTAGTGTTCTCAATATTTTTTGGTATCTTACGCGCTTAAAATCCCAACAATTGGTATCGGATCTTGGTTACACTGGGCAGGAGGGATTTGTAAGCGGTAAAAGGAGAAATTTTGAGAACCCGGGGACTGGTCGGTTTTGGCCAGAAGGCGACCATGGGACTTCAAGAACAAAGTGGATGGCATGAGGATCGGGTACGAAGCTGTATGCTGGCTTTGTGAAGTATGGTGCAGGAACATGACTTGAGGAGACCGATAGTCTAGCGGAGTAGAAAACTGCGGCTTATGTCTTGTGTCGAAAGTCTTCCCAGCAAGAAGAGGTCGGGCGGCGTGTCCCGCAGATGTTGTTGCGGCGGTGCAAGATGGGCGGATCAAAAGAAGCTAATTGCTAGATGGGTGGTCTCAAAGAGTGTTAAAAAGGGTGAGCTGTCATTTTGTTTAGCTCGGGGTGGAGGGTTAAAACTCTAAGGAGCTAAGGTTGTGGCGGTGATCTTGACGGATTGGTTGAGATGGAGCCACGGGTACAACGATAATTGGAAATGGTGAGGACCTTGTCGTATTGAGCAAGGTGAGGCCACGACCATGAGTCAACACATGGTGGGGAGAGCTTGCGGTATTGAGCAAGATAGGGCATGGAATTTTTTTCAAGGTGGTAGTGATCTTGGTGGTTGGACCAAGGTGGAGCCACGAGGATTTTTTTTCTTCTTTGAGGTTGGCAGCGGTGATCTCGATGGAGTAGACTGAGATGACGCCAAGGATGATTTTTTTTCGGAGTACCGGTGATCTCATCGGAGAGGTGAGGTGGAGCTACAAAGTTTTTTTTGATTATTTAATCAAGGTGGAGTTTGTTGGGAAATTGATTAATAATCAAAAGAAAAAGAAAAAAAATAAAATAAGAAAGAGGACAAGGAAGATAAAAAAGGAAGATATGGATGGTGGATGCATCCATCATGCATGCATGTGATTGGGTTTTCTCCTGTAGCAAATTGATTCGGGCAAATTATGCTTCTCTTTGCCCTTTAAAATGGAAAGGCTACGGAGTATTTGTGAGTGTGGGTTTTACACACCACCAATGTAGAGAGAGAAGCATGGGAGGAATTCTACACAAGAATACCACCGGAAAAATCCAAGGGGTCTTGGTGAGTGTGGGTGAGTGTATGGAGTAACTGGTTTTGGTTACTCGGAAAAATACATCTGGGCATAGGATGTGGAAATATTTGTTTATGAGTGTTTGAAATTTAGTCTTGTAAACATGAGAGAGTTTTTTGTATATTGTCCTGAAATAGTGGAAATATAAATTTTTTCTCTCATATATTCTTCTTGTGTTTGTTCTCTCATTTTTCTGGTGTTCTCAATATTTTTTGGTATCTTACGCGCTTAAAATTCCAACACCATCTTATGCCGAAATTCAATAAAGCCTCACTTTATTTGATTGAAATGATACCAATTTATATTCTCGATCTAAATTTATGTTTTGATTTAAGATAGAATTAGAATTCAGAAACAACTAGGCATATAAATTGATTGCAGAATTGCTCTACGGCACAAGAGTATCACCATAGATGAAGACTCGAAATTGAGATCCATCTCATGCCCGTAAGAGACTGGAAAGTAGGAACTAAACTCGCAGGATAAGCGCATGCGTTTTTCATTAGGCTAAAATCATCGTCCTGATTCAAGCTTTCAATTCCAAAAAATTTACAAATTGTTTTTCTAGTTACGTTAATATTGTACTCCGTACGATTGATTCATGTGTTTTTTCAGTTTGAGTAATGCTACGGGTTTGGTGTACCCCAAATGTACACCACCCTTTTTTTCTCCACACATTTTTATTTACTTAATTTTTTTGAATTTTTTTGCCTTTTTTAGTGGACAAGGAGGAGGTGTGGATATTTGGGGTAGACCATACCCCTAGCATTTTTCTTTCCGTTTTCCCATATAAAAACACGTGAGTAGCCTTCTTATTTCATACAGTTAAGTCATATTTCAATGACGTACATGACTCTAAAGACAAAATTGGGCACACTCACGAACTTTATTTCCATTTTGTTTACTGCATTTATTGAATTCAAAAGAAGAAGAAATACATAACTAAGACCAAAACATGTTGCATATATGAAGATAAGACTTTCAATATATTTTGTATGAGAATAAGAGTTATGGTATTAAATAATAACAAATAATGCTACTCTGTAAAACACATGAGTAGCCCTCTCATTTTATACAATTAAGGGGCTGTTTGGCAACTTGTGAATGGGTAAGTGCTGAACCAGTAAGAGGTCTGAATCATTAAGTGCTGAACCAGTAAGAGGTCTGAACCATTAAGATCTAGTATATTGCTTAACTATTCAGAGGCAAATGTCTGATCAATTCAGATAACAGCTCTTAACTATTCAGACTCTGTATAATACTTAACCATTCAGAGGCAAATCTCTTAACCATTCAGACATCTGAACCATTAAGAGGCTGAAACAAACAGTCTGAACCATTAAGTGCTGAATCATTCAGACATATGAACCATTAAGAGGCTGAAACAAACAGCCCCTAAGTCATATTTCATGTTGATACACGATTATAGAGAGGAAGTTGGGTACACAGGGCCGTCTCCAAGGAATTAGGGGCCCTGTCCGACACGGAGAAAATGCACTATTGTGTGATGAAAAAGTAAAATCTATAAATTAATTTTTTTAATAACATATAACATTGTAGTAATAATAAAATGTCAAACTCATAGTCTTATTTTGTAATTATATACTCCGAACTTTAGTACCTAACCAAAGACTCGTGAAGTTGTTCAACTCCCTCCGTCCCAAATTATAATGCTTGTTTACTATTCACACGGTCAAACTTCATTCACTTTCTTTCTCTATTTTTGTTAGCAAATTGATAAAATAAAGTATTATTGTCATTACTAGTTTTGTAGATCTTTTGATGTAGTATTTTAATATGTAATTTTTATTTTTTAATTATATACCATTTGTCATATAAAATGATTTGAAAATAATTTCAGTCAAACATCGTAAACCGAAACAGGTGTTATAAAATGGGACGGAGGGAGTATAAATCTTGAGAGAAAATAGGTTGATCACTTCTCCATAGTTTATTAGATTTACTGATTTAGGGTTTATTAGATTTACTGATTTAGGACTGTATTTTTAAAAATAAATTAGAATTTTTTTATATAAATAAATATATAAATGTATGCATACTAAAAATTGGGCCCATTCAGAAATGGGCCCTGGCCAAGTGACCACCTTGCCCCTCTCTTGAGCCGCCCCAGGGTACACTCTTAACTTTATTTCCATTCTATTTACTGCATTTATTGGATTCAAAAGAAGAAGATACACATAACTAAGACCAAAACATGTTGCATATATGAAGATAAGACCTTCCATATTTTATATGAGAATAAGAGTTATGATCACAAATAATAACAACAAATAATGCTACTCTGTAAAACATAATGTTAAATGCCAACCTGGAATTGTCAGCAAATTAAATAGTGCTTAAAAACAATGTAAAATGCCAATACAAAGTATTCTGTTTAAACTTTACCCTAACAATACTCTATTTAGAGTGATTTATCCATTACACTAAATACCTCTATTAGAGTAAATCTATTTTTATGAAATTATGATTGACGCTAGTATATTACCAGTGTGAACTTCGGGAATATATTACTCGTATACTTCCTCCGTCCCAAATTATTTGTCACATTTCTATTATCGAGGCAAAATATCAATTTTTTTCAATTCATTTTATTTACATATTGATAAAAAAATATAAAATAAAAATTACATATCAAAAAACTATATGAAAAGTTCTTCGAAATAAGAGGTGTCAAAAATATTTTATTTTATCAAATAACCAATGAAAACGTCGAAATAAACAAAAATTCCCGCGACTGCTGAAAAAGCAAATGTTGTGAATATTTAGGGACGGAGGGAGTATAATATTACCATTTAAGTGATATTTTTTACGAAAGACTACATAGAGAATAGATTTCAATTATAAAATACTATGTAGATAGAGGCGGATCCAAGAATCTTGAGCCATGGGGTCCCAGTTTAAGTTTTTATTATTCAAATTAAATTTCATTCAAAACCAACAAGTTTAATCTTTTGGTTGAATTGGTTCATTGACATAATATCAAAGTTTTGCTGACCTAAGAGCCACAAGTTCAAATCTTACCACCACCTAATTAAAAAATAATTAATATTCAAATGCAAGGTTCGAACATAAACAAAAGTTGTCTTCTCATTTGGGGGCTTATTAGAGCATAAACAAAATTCAATTGTTATAAATGACGATTTCTTGTGAAAAGTTTTAAATGAAGAAAGTTTAGATCTAGATTTTTTTTGAAAATAACATTTTCAAATATTAGTGTTAGTGTTTTAGAACAAAATTAAAGATATATATTAATTTTAAAAATAGTAAAGTCAAACGTTGTTGTTAGATAACCTTTTCAAAACATTAATGCTAAACGCTCAAGTTATTTCCGAACATATTCCGTTTCTATATATACTTTTTTACATAAGTTTTAAAGATTAGAATCAATAACTTCACTATGAATCAAATGTTTTGTTTTTCTTAGAATGAACAAGCTTCGTTGAATACTGGGGATTATTCAAATTGGTATCCTTTTCACTACAATCAACTTTCTTAAAGCTTAGTTACCAAAATGTAAGTAAATAAAACATATGATAACAAAAACATAAAATTCATCACCACAACTCAAAGTTTCCGTATTTTTATACTACATATAATTATCCATATTTTGATACTACATATAATTATGCAAATACAAAATTTGAAAAGTTGTTAAAAGGTAAAAATTGTATAATTTGAATATAATTAGAAGAGAAATAAATATTTTGTAAAATAAATCATTTTTAAAAAAGAGAAAGAAAATAGTAAAAAATTAATTTTGAATGAACATATAAAAAAAAGTGAAAAAACTTTAAGAGGAGGAAATAGGTATAATTTAATTAATCTATTTAAGATGTGTTTTCTTTTTTGTCTTTGCTATGGAGGTTTTTTTTTGATAGAGTAATTAAAAAAGAACACTAAAAAGTCAAAAAAAGAAAACTCACACATGAGATTTGGGAGAAGGGAAGGCTCAACAACCATCTCACATATGCCATACCCGTGTGACCACTCGGCACATACACAATATTCTTCTCAAGTGGCTTTTGGTTGTATATATACTAATACTCAAAAAATACCTAATATACATAAGATCATACATGGAGGTCCGTGAGGTCCCGGGACCCCGTGGGACTCCAAGTGGATCCGCCTCTGAATTGTAGATCATTAGAACTTCTTGATCACTAATATGAGAAAACACATCATTAAAAAGGATTATTTTGAAAATTTATTGAAAAGAAAAATTGGAAATTAATACCTATGTAAAGACTAGGGCTTGTTTGATATCAACGTTAAAAATTAATATTAGTGTTTTAAAAAAATTATCTGAAAGGCTTTTAGCGTTACCATTTTCATAATTAATCTAAACCATTAAAACTTTATCCAGAATAGTTTCCTGCGCCAGGGGTTGATACATACTCCGTAGAAATTATCTTTTCGTCCTCTTTTTAATACTCTCCTCCCTATCTTTCCTCTCTCCCCTATCCAACCAATTGGATGAAACAATGACAGCAGTTCCCCTCTGCTCGGAATCTTCCCTCTGCAGTCCAATCTTGAAATTTAACCCTCCCCTCTTTTCCTCTTCCATCCATTCGCCTTCTACTGATAGAATCAAACTCAAATTCGGTTCACATGCCAACTTTAGGGTTTCGACCAAGTCCGCACTCTCTCCTTCTTCTTCTTCTTCTTCGCGAGGGGACTACAAAAGGAACACAGACCAGGTGATTCCTCCCTACAACGTTCTGATCACCGGCGGTTCCAAAAGGTGTGTTTCATTTTCCATTTAGGTTTATACCATTGTCCATGTTCTTAATTGATGGCCTTGAGCAATGAGCACCCTCGTTTGTTACCCATGGCTTAGTAGATTTTTTCTTTCAAGTGCTTGTTTGGTTGCCATGGAAAGTGTCTGGGGTTTCCCTTGCTTCTTTAAATGTACTTTTGGACTGTAAATGCAGCAGTATATCTAGCTTCTATCGAAGACACCTCTCTGTTTTAGGGAAAGGTTGCATACATCTAGACCCCAATAGAGTTTGAATTATACTGGGTTATTGTTGTTGTTGACTCTTTGTTTTTTGAACAAAATCAATAAACATCAACTATTCAATGTAATTGTCCAGCAAAGAGTGTAAGAAGAAAATGGGGAGAATATTATGGGACACTTGAAGTATGACATAGCTACACAAATATGCAACAAAGTTTTGACATTTATAAGACTCATTGAAGCTAATTTAGCGTGATTTTGTAAATGAATCTCTGTTGTATAGAATCACTACTTTGTTTGTCACTCACAATCCCCTCGCATGTACTTTCTTTCTCTCTCTCTCTCTCACTCACCCGTTATCTCTCTTGTGCCCTTGCAATTGCTTGTTATCATATCAGGAATTGGATATGCACTTGCTAAGGAATTTCTGAAGCCGGGTGATAATGTTCTTATATGCTCTAGATCAGGCAAGAGTTTTATGAAATGATGCAAAAATGCTTCAAAGTCTGGAGTTCTCTACACTTACATTTACTTGGTCTTGTACCAGAATGATATTTCATGAGGTAAACAGCTTAGCGTTCAATGAAATTTTGTGTACTTTGTCATAAAAACAGAGGAATGATATAAAGGATGATGTATAAGAAGTTAATGAGTTTGTTTTGTTTCAATTAAATGCATAGTTATTAAAGGCGCTCGCCTCTCTCGCCTATGGCGCCTCAGGCGACCAGGCGAGCTCTCAGCGCCTCAAGGAAGCCAGGCAAGAGAGATCCCTAAGGCGCGCCTAAGGCGGTCGCCTTTCTCGCCTCAATCACTGCCTCAGGCGTTCGCCTAGCTCGCCTTTCTCGCCTCAATCACTGCCTTAAGGCTTTAGGGTATACAATGCCTAATGTCTGTATGCTATATATTGCATACAGACATACATATATATATATATACACACACACACACACAGTATCAATAGTATGTGTTTATACATACATACATATATGTGTGTGTGCGTGTGTGTGTGTATATATATATGTATGTCTGTATGCATGCATGCATGTTCGCCATTTGACCGCCCGCCTCTCGCCATTAATAACTATGATTAAATGTGATGTGTGCCCTCCTAACAAGATCTAATCTGTGCTCTACTGTTCTTTTGTCCCATAAAAAGAATCATGATCTACAAAGTTAAGAAATTTCAGCACTTAGACGGTCTCAATTTTTATCTATTTTTAAACTATAAGCAATGTTCTTAAATGTACTAGGCACTATTTGCTATACCTAGCGCCCAGTCAAATAAAAAACAAACCCATATAAGGCTTTGAGCTTCACTATTAAGGTTAAGATGTGTTTTAATGGTGATAACTAGTTTTGTTACTAGACATCAATACTGTCCTTACTGATAATTATTATGGATATTATTTATTGGATTGCTAAATGCAATTTATGAACAAACTGCATTCAGACAATTCAGTAAATGGACATTTAGTTTGAGAATGGAGGCCGGAAATAGTAACCACAAGTCCGCAACAGTAAAAAACAAATTAAAAGCATTAACAGATTAAAATAATCTTGCTTACCAGTTACAACCATTTAGATGTAAGGGCCCTGAAGTGTTGAAATCTTCGCTCTCAGATGCCATTATGTTTTTCTTTTCTGTCTAGGCCCTAAATAGCAATTGAAACCTATACTCATTATAGAGCAAAACACATGCAAAAATTACAAAACATGATGAATAACATTCAGAGTTCTTCAAGCCGCACGACTAATGCAGATCCTAATGACCCTTTTTGGTCTGGAATTAGTTGTCTACTTTCTATGAACTCTCATTTTTTAAGAATTGATTTTTAAAATGTCAAATAAGTCGGTTAAGTCCTCGAAACGAGTTTGCCACTCAATCATGCCAACCAACATTGTTCATACCTCATCTCCGAGGCTCCAGTGCAGAGATGTGAGAGGCTTACGGCAGTGGAGGGGAATGTGGGAATGGGTAGACCTAAGGAGAGTTGGAAGGCTTCTTGTTTCATTGGGTTTTTCTTTCTCTATGTTTAGTTTGCTCTATGCTTTTATTTTTGTGCTTTGAGCTTTCTGTGTTACTCGAGTCGGGAGTCTCTTGGAAATAGTCTCCTTACTTTCGAGTAGAGATAAGGTTTGCACAGACCCCCCCCTAACTCTACTCCCGTGAGATTCTACTGGTTATTGTTCTTGTTGTTGTGGCATCATAATTTCTCTATAGAATTATTAAATCTGACAACTACATCCCAACGGAAAAAGTATATATTAGATTTGTTTATATTTTAAACCCGGATGCCCCCTCCCCATTAAAACCATGAATCCCCAACCGGTTCTATAGTTATCCATCAACATAAAGTCCTCTCATTTTGTGGGTGGCGGGAGTGGGGACATTCGAGAGAAGAAATGAGTAAAATGATGAAACCCATCATCTTTACAATTTAATTTAATTCCAACAAAACTACTTCAAAGAAAGCAATAAAAATCTCCAAAATATCATTGCATCACCTCAAAAAAGATCAATTTTGCGGTCCTTTACGAATCTACATTGATCTTGTACATCTAGTAGCCCTAGCTCTAAACATGAATTGTTCGAAACAATGGAAAATCTTTCTACTTACGGGCTCCTTAGATCGTAGATCAAGCATTAAAAATACCACATTGTTTCAATTCTTTAGAGAAGGCATGGAATCAAACAGAAAAGTTGGGCACCTTTGATGAAGAAATGAGAATCTGGGTGGGTCAAGGATATGATCAACAGATTTGATTTATTGAGTCACCCGCCTCTAGTTGTGTAGGTTATATGTTGTGGCAAATTCTATCGTACATCTAGATGTATTTCTACATTGAGTTGTTTTAATTTTCTATGGTTAGTTTTTTATTTTTAGCTTATAATTAAATTCTTAACTTTTAATTTTAATTTTCAGATTTTAAGTTTTAAATTTTTAATTTTCAATTCAAAACTTCAAATTTAATTTTTTTATATTTGTTTTGTAGTTTTCAACTTTTAATTTTTTATTGATTTTTTATTTTGAGACTGAAACTAATTTTTATTGGCGGTCAAGATTGGCGGTCTCAAGATCGTTTTTGATTCTTGATTTTACATCAGCATAATAAGATATACTCCGTACTCCGTATAATTGTGGTCAATTAAGTATGTACTCGAAATTTAACTTCTTTTGGGAAGTAGCATTTTTTTTGAATTCATGCATTTCAATTCCAAAATTTGAATTCTTGAATTTCAAATTACAAGGGGAGGTATATGAATTGAAAATTGAGCTTTGTTATGAGCTAGAAGAATTTGACTCAATATACCATGTATGCCGCCCGCAGCTGGTCAACCTGTATGCCTATGTTCTTCCAACTCTTATTTGTAATATGTTAAACCTTGACCTTGTTTAATACTCTTTCCATTCCAAAAAGAATGACACAATTACTATTTCAGCCTCTCCTTAATTTTTGTTTATTTTCTTGTTTTGGTTGACTATTTGACAGAATAAAATGTTCTTGTCACATTTTGTTTTGTAAAAGAAGAAATCACCCGAAATAAGACTAAAACATAGACAAAGTACCAAAATAGGAGTTCTATATTATTTTTATTTCTTAAATATGAGTTCGTACTATGATAATGTGGCATTGTACATGTACATTTTACGTAATATACATGGTCATGATTGGTAATATAAATGTATTTTAACTCCTGTTTAAGGAATAAAAATATGGAACTCCTATTTTGGTATATTTAAATTGAATATTATGTACATGATATCAAATGATTTAATTATGAATTGAGATTCAATTTATGTGGATATTCGATACATTAAATATCCTTACTCAGCTTCACCGCTGAGTGTGTAGTATGTTTTATTTCCTACACGCAGGTAAACAAAAAGAATGATATGACGTGTGTAACACCCTAATCCGTTCAGGTCTGCAGCCCTTTTTGGACTAAAGTATAAACTTGGTATTCGTAAACATTCAAAATATTTCAAACATTTAAAACTTCATTTCATAATAAATTATTCAGAATAATAACGGAGTAGTTTAATGTTGCGGAAACTGAATAAATAACAATTACAAAACATAATAATATTATGTTTTTTAAACATTAATTCATTTCCTTAGCTTGACCATCTCGCCCTGTTTGCCGTCAGGATTGCATCACTTCATTCTTTTTGTTTACATGCGTCTAGCAAATAAAACATACTACACGCTCAGCGGTAAAGCAGAGTAAGCATATCTAATGCATCGAACATCCATATAAATTGGATCTCAATTCATAATCAACCATTTCATATCATGCACACAATATACAATTCAATCATTCATCATTCATGATATTCACAATATTTAATTTCAAGTCATTTAATTTCATGATATATGCAATATTCAATATTCAATGTCTCAAGAGTACTCTTAAATTATTCTTAATCTAAGACCAAATCATTTTATACAAGCTCTTAACTATTCTTAGTGTAAGGCAATATTTCTAACTGAACTCTTAAACTATAAATAGTTTAAGGCAAAACACAAGAATCGATAATCCACTCTATGAGTCATGTGGATTACGTACCAACCGAACAATGAACTGTCGGGCGGGTGATATCCAGTCTGGATTCCGTACGTACGTTTTAACCCCAAATAATTGAATTGGTCACATAGGTATATTTTAGAGTTCTTCTAGATATCCTTAATAGTCATAAATTTCCAAATGGTATATCTTAGAGTTTTTCTAGATATCCTTAACAATACACATCATTTTCATAATCAATATGTCCATTTTTAGTCATGATTCAATTCTTCATAATTATTACTTTAATCAAAATATTAAATCATCATTATCATCAATCAAAGATATTTATCATAATCATCAATAATCATAAATAACAAGTAGCGGTCTAGCGTCGAGTGTTAACACCCTAGCTTACTGTCATGCATCAACCAAGATTCTTGGTTTTATTGAAACATCATATTCATTTCCAGAAATCATATTAAAATTGATTAAAATTGATTGGTATAAAAAAATAGGGTTTAAGAGTTTACAAAATTAGGTTTTCTGAAACTTTCTCTGGACAAACGGTACCCCTAACAGTACCTCGGAACTGCTCAAACGGTACGGGGTATCGTTTGGCATTAGGTACCGCCAGAGAGAATGGATACCGGTAGTGGAGACGGTAGCTAGCCTACCATTCCCACGGTATGGCCTACCGTCCCGGCGGTACCAAGGTACTGTCCGGACGGTATCGGGCTACCGTTCTGCGCATAGTTTTGAACAATGTCATTTTCAACCTCGGGCCAATTTTTGGAAATGTCATTTTTAGTCACAAAAATTCAATTAAACTATATAGAAATGTTCTCTAAGGTTTATAGATCCTTTTGGTATCATTAGTTCATAATTTTAACATCAAATTTAAGGTTTATGATTCTTGGTTCTTCAAGTATGTCAAACACAAAACTCAATCAAACAACCTTATGAACGTAGAAATGATCTATATAAACATTTTAGTCACTAGAAATATCAACGGGCTTACCTCGAAGTTTAACGGAGGTTTTGAGAATTTTCCAGCGAAACTTCCAACGAGGATTACTCTTAGCTCCAGCGACTTCACACCAAAATGGCAGAACCACTGCGTTCTCCACACTCAAAGCTAACTCTCAAAAGAAATTTGAGAAGAAATGGTGAAGAATTG